GGGGTTGGGGCTGGAGCGAGAGCTGCAGCAGTGGACTGCCACCCTACCACCCCACCACTTCATACTCAATTCCAAGATCAGGGTTTTTTTCCCTCCCCATGTTGGGGAGGGGGGCTCATTTTGGAATTGAGTAAATAGGACTTCCTTACACCAAACCTTGCAACTCCATCCTCTCACAAACATTCATATTCACTTAAAGGACAGCATCATGAACAAGTAGTTGGGGTTTTTTTTCTTATTAGTCATTTCCTTTCTGTACTTAACCTAGCCCTCTTGCAATTATTTTCTCAAAAAGAGCCCTGCTACACTAATACTTTTTTGTATTGCCAAAAATGCTTCTGACAGCTGTACATTCACTAAGAACAGCTTTCACATGCCTTATAAACTGTATGCGATTTTGGTAGAAGTCGTGTATTTTACTCTTAAAACTCATCACACATGATTAAGGAAATATTTGGTGTAAGTTCCCTTTACATAAAATTACAGCTTTCAAAAGCAGTCTGGCTGTGTCAGGACTAGAGTGCTAGCACTCCAGTACAGTGGTGCCCAACCTTCCATTCCCCTGGGCTGAATGACAGGCACAGGGTTAGTCAGCAGGTTGGATCCCCCACAGGATCAGTGCAGGGGGATCTGTCTGTGGGTGCAACTCCATTTGCCAGCCCAACCCATGTGCTGGATCTGGCCATGCAACAGCCCGATCCTGACTATGCCTGTGTGGCTACATGCCAGCCCTACTTTGCACCAGAATGTGGCTGCACACTGGTCCAATCTAGCATGCCCGGATGTTACTGCACAGTGGCCTGACTACATGCATGGAACTAGACTGAAGCAACCCCATATATGAGGGTAGGGTTATGTTATTCAGCCCACAGAACTCTTCATAGGTCTGAAATCTGGCAGCAGGAAACATCAATTAATTCTGCCACCCCTGCCCCAACCCCAAATTTCTGGACCAACGGGGAGCCGCGTGGTCCAAATGACATTGTTCCACAGGCTAGAGGTTGAGCACCACTGCTCTATATAAATAGTCATAAGTGAAGTGAAGCAACGGGGGAAGGGGCAGTTAAGTGAACATATGTTGAGATAGTGAGTGCTGAGGACCAAATCTTCACTCACGCTATGATTATGACAAGAATGCAGTAGATCAGGGGTGTCAAAGTCACCTGGCCTTCTGGGCCAGGTGAGTGGTGTGGGAGTTGCCTGTAGCTGGATTGGGCCCAACCACTGACCCTGTATGTCTGATCCAGCACAAGTTCTGAAGCAGGTGCCGCATATGGTGCATGTCCTTGATTGGCCACTTCAGGACGACACTGCATGCAGCACCTGCTGCAGTACGTCCCTGCCACATACCGGTGTTCTAGTGTGCATCCCAGAGTGGTCAGAGTGAGCGCCATGTGTGACATAGTCCTGGAGCGGCCACTCTGGGGCTGCAGTGCCTGCTCCAGCATGTGTCCACTCCATGCATGATCCAGTGCATATCTTGGAGCAGGCTTTGCATGTGGCAGTCACTCCAGGGCTGCACTGCATGTGGTGCCTACTTTGGCTACTCTGGGGCTATACAGTACCTGCTCTGGCTGCTCCTTGGATGTGTGCTGGATCCTGCATGGAGAGGATGTGCTCCAGAGCGTGCAGCATGATCCCAGAGCAACCAAAGCAGGGCCCCTGTGGCATGCAGGGCCATCCAGTGTGCCCTTATACTGCTTGTAGGTCCAGTGGAGACCAGATGGTAGGCCTCTGTGGGCCAGATCTGGCCTGCAGTCCATATCTTTGATAGCCCTGCAATAGAGAGGTAGCACTTTTACTATGCTGAAGGTGCAGTGGCTGGTTATAAAACTCTGGGAAGTCTGCTTGTCAAGGTCAAAAGTACTCAAGTGGCACAGGCATCCTCTATGTGTGATGTAACATTAGGGAGGGGTCAGGCAGCAGGGGCAGTTAATGCAGGGAGCAAAAAACAGCAGTAGATTGGGTAGGGAGCACAGGGCAGGAAGCAGAAAGCAGAACAGCAGATTAAGCAGGGGAAGGGGATCATAGTGTCAGTCAGGAAGGGTGCAGGGAGAAGCTTCAGGACCACGATGGACTTTTCTGAACATCCATATCTGGCCAGTACTTTCCAGAAGGCTTAGCAATTGATGGAATTAGAGGACTTAATGAAGTTAATGAAGGCCATATATAAGTCCTGATGCTGTTCCTGATGCTTTTTTTTGGACCTGGCAGACAAAGGTCATGTCAGTTGCCCTATGGGATGGTCTGAAACTACACTGAGATTCCAGAAGGACTTCCTCAGCAAGAGGTAAAAGATGGTTTAGGGTGATGTGAGCAAGAATTTTCCCTGCTGTGGAAAGGAGGGTGATACCTTGATAGTTCCCACAAACAGACTTATCTCCTTTCTCAAAGATAGTCATGCTTCTGGCATTCCTCAGGTCCCCATGGATCTCTTTGTTGTTCCAAATGTGTAGAATAAATTTGTGGAGTCTCAGTAACAGTTCCTTGCCACCAGCCTTGTAGATTTCAGCAGGTATCCCATCTGATCCAGTAGGCTTGTTGGTCTTGATTTCTTTGAAGGTACACCAGATTTCTTCAAGGCTAGGAGGGTTGGAAGGGGTTCCTTTTCAGGAAGTTGGGGGATGGATTCAGTGGTGGTATCCATCACAGTTGACTCACAGTTCAGGAATGCCTCAAAGTGTTTTCTCCATCTAGCTTGCATAGATTTATTGTCTTTGAGGATCTCTGCACCATCCTGCAATGCAGGAAAGTTGGACTGTGGGAAGGTGGGCCAGATAATGACAGATAATGGAAACAGCTAGCCTTCATTGCCCAGGAAAAGTTATGCATGTCATGCTTGTCAGCGTAGAGCTGGATCTCTTTGGCTTTATTTTGCCACCATTGTTTTTTGATTTCCTGGATCCTCCTTTGAGCTTCAGGTTTGAAGACCTAATGATCTCCTCCTGCTAAGATGAGGTATCATCTTTTCAAGCAGAATGAGTCCTCCTCTTCTAGTCAAGGAAGGCTTGGATCTTGGCATTGCTTTCATTAAATCAGTCATGGTGTTGACAGGTGGTATAGTCAATGGATTCAGCATAGGCCATATGAATGGTAGTTTTAAGCCTTCCAGAGTTCCACAATGTTGCCTTCATTTGTGGGCAAGGCTGAGAGCTTTCCATGGAGACTGTTGGAAATCATTACAAACCTTTGGGTCTTGAATAGATTTGGTGTTGAGAGTCCTTCACATTGCTTTTGGTGTTTTGCTGCAAGCTTGATGTTCATAATGGATCTGACAAGATGCTGATCTGTCCAGGAGTCATCAGCTCCTCACATAGCTTGCATGATACGATTCGTTCACAGGCTCTAACAATAACATAGTCGAGGAAGCGCCAGTGCTTAGAGTGAGGGTGTCCCTGTGTGGTCTTGTATTTGTCACTGTGTGAAGATGGTATTTGTGATGACAAGATCCTGTTCCACGCATTTGCTCAGAAGGAGGATGCCACTGGAGTTGACTTTCCTTACTCCTTCCTTCCCAATGGTGCCACTCTAGAATTCCAGGTCACATCTGACTTTGGCATTGAAGTCACCAAGGAGAATGATCTTGTCCTAATTGGGAGTGTTAGTATATGGTCAAGACTGGAGTAGAACTGTTATTTGACATAAGCGTCAGCATCAAGCATTGGGGCATATGCACTAATGATGGTATTGTATTGGTTGTTGCTCAGCGTAAGACAGAGGGACTAAGGCAGTGGTTCTCAACCTGTGGCCTGTGGGCCACATGCAGCCCAGTTAGCACACTGCTGCGGCCCACATGACATCCAGTTAAATGAATGCACAGGAAGTAAGTTGTGTGGGTGTGGCCCATGTAACACATTGAGAGATGCAAGTGTGGCCCACTTAAGCAAATAGGTTGAGAACCACTGGGCTAAGGCATTTGTTAATACCCACAGGGAACTCTGTAAGTTGACTGATGAGCTGATTCTTGATAGTGAAGCTGACACCATGGATGCTCTTGTCCTGGGCTCGTTTCCACTTCCAGAAGCTGACCCTCATCCAGTCATCTTGTCTTACTCGGAGCGGCAGTGTTGATATTGTATCTCACTAATTACCTGGAGACAATGGCAGTTCTTCTTTCCAATTGTTTGTTGTCTTGGTTATCCATCAAGTTGCAAATAAACCGTGTTGTGAAAATCATTGTCATGTGATGTTTTCAACCTCAGAGTGAACCCTCTGGACACAATTATCCAGCCAGGAGCAGATAAGACAGTTTAGCTTTAATGCATCTTTTCTAGCCCTTTCCCCATGTGGGGTGAGCAGAGGGGATCCTGAATAGGACTGCTCAGTCACAGTAGCAACTGCCAAATTGCACCCCTGTCTCAACCCATGTGCAAGATGACCATCAGGCTGCTGCCACATGCATTTAGATTCATGGCTCAAGACTGCCAGATTCAGTAGTTTCGTATCTGTCACCACTCATCCATCGCTGCAGGGCTTTTGGAGGTTGGTACAGGAAAGCGTGTTGTTTCATGTGGTAGAATCCTATGCATTACTTTGTTTACTGTGAGGAAGCTGGTGCGTGGAAACAGCGACCACATTATCTTGACAAGGTAGAGATGTAAGCCCAGTGGCAAGGGAGAGACCTAGATGACAGGAGACCTTCGTCTTGGTGCAGCCTTCTTCCGTCTTTCCAGCTGCTGAGATCCTGACATCTTTCTCTGCCTGAGCCACTGTGGAGGACTTTGGTTTTGGTTGTAGTTTGTCTGGAGCCTCCCGTAAGGTGTTTTCAGCATGGGTGCCCTTTCCAGAAGTGTGGAACTCTGGGCAGCTTAGCTTTGTGGATAACTGGGACACGCTAATTTGGGATGGGGAAACATATTTAAAAATATGCATATTTTATGTAAGTATGCAAAACAATTTTGCTTAAATAAATAGTTAGGAATCATTCTATTTGAATTGAAAAGAAGATGTTGCTATCTCACTCCTTTTCTTGCTGGATTATTTAGGATTTTTTTTTCCAGGGCCGGAGGTCTGGGTCTCAATTTTGTTGGAGCCAATGTTGTTATATTGTTTGATCCAACATGGAACCCAGCCAATGATCTACAAGCCATTGACAGGTACAGTTTCAAAATTACTCAAGAAGATGTAATGCTAGCTTCCATTTGATCTTAGAATTCAATTTCTTCATTGTTTCCCTAAAAATATAGGATGCTTTTAAGTGCACTCTGTTCTTTAGTTCTTCATACTAGATTAAGAAATACTGTGATAAATAATTTTTTTAGGATTGACCTGTTCCATTTTTAAACCCTGAATTTTAATATTTTTTTTAATGTACTACTTTTGAATGGAAAAAGAGATGTGGTAAAATGCTGTGATTATAACAGTGTTTCATTTTTTATATACAAGTGTGTTATGGCAGGATGCAAAAATTATGCTGCTATAAGAATTATGGTGCAAGAATCATCTGAGAAAATAGGAAGTCCTGAAGAAAAATGCTTTTGTTACTTTTAGTCTCTCTTGGTAGTGTTGAGAAGTCCTTATTAAACAGACAGGCCAATAATTATGTATTCTGTTGGGGTGACATAGATTTTTTTTTCTTGGGTATTCTAGACAAGAAACAATATTGGGGTGCACCGATTAAATATTTCCTTGGCTGATACCCATAGCTGATTTGTTAACCAGCCATATCAGCTGATACTGGTCTGATAGCTGATTTATAGGAATGCAGCTGGGCAGCATCCTGCTGATAAATCTGTGGGGGAGAAGGGGCATGGGGGAGGGAAGGAGTGTAGGGGGAGAAGATCGATTCCCCTATGGCATTACCCAGCCAGGACTGTGAATGTGACCCTGGGGTAGGATGGAGTTGGGGTGGCTTATCTGGGGGGGTGTGGGGAAGAAGCAGATCCTCTCCACTGTGCTCACCCCTGGGGAAGGCATGAGGGGGCATGTGCCCCCCCCCCCC